GAATATCTTACAAGCCGTCCATCCCCCGCACCAAGATGCTACTCAACCACATCAAACGTCTTCATTACACCCACAGCGCAGCAAACCCAGGCGCCCAGATCCGTCGTCAACAGTCTCACCATGTTGTACCACAGCCACTGCTTCTGCATATCCACGTTCCGGTTCCCCGGCTCCGCGAACTTTCTCTCCTTGGACCTGCCTCCCTCATCGTCGAGTATGTACTTGATGGCCGGCGCCACAAACGGCACATAGACCAAGTGGCCGACGGCCAATGCTGCCGTGGCCACATACCAGGGCCACGCACCCTTCTTCTGCAGCAGTGTCTTGTGATAGACGACGGCCCCGATGGAAGTCCATGTCGTTACGCCCAGGAGGGAAGCGACTTGTGTGAGACCCCGGGGGAAGAACACGCGCCAGTAGCTGGGGAGAATGGTGTTGATGCGGTCACTGACTTCCGGGCTGGTGAAGATGCTCAAGAAGGCATTTTGGTCCCAGGCGAAGAGGAGGGAGCATGTGGATGAGACGAAAGGGGCGAGGAGCAGCGCCTTTTGCGGGTTGAAGAATGCTCCCGATGCCATGCTGGCTAATGGCACCCGGATGAGGATGATGAGAAGCACCGAGAGTGTGAGAAGTAAAGGAGGCCTGGCTGTTTTTGATATAGTCAAGAGATGTTGAAGCTGAGCCGAGGACTAACGTCGCCTGAGGTTTGCAAGTTTGCACAGAATGCCATCAGATAGATGATCAGGCCATGAGCTTGAGCCAAAGAGGCGGCGGCCGAAGTGGGGAGCGGAAGCAAAAGCGACAGTCAGGATCAGGGTCCAAACAAGGGCTCTCTGTAGGGATAACCGTCGCCCCACTCCCGTCACCCAGGTCAACAGCATGCGTATCTCTTGTACGTATGAAAACAGCAACAAAGCACAGCGCATTATTGCCCGAGAAAACAACCAGACTTATTATTGATATCTCTTTAAAACCTTGCACCGCTCTTGATTCCCACTTGGACCGCCTGGCCATTATGCAATTCCACAATGTACAATACATCCACAACGCCGTCAACGCCAACGCAACATGGCGCTTAATCATCCTCGTCCTCGACCCTCGGCCGCTTTGACTGCCGCTCTTCGTCATTTAACCCGTATCCCCTCTTTGACGACGAATTCTGGTCAACCTCGGACAGAAACTTGTCCACGTTGAATGGGTCGGCAGTTTCTTTTTCGAATTGCACTGGTCCTTCACGGGCCTGCGTATTTGTTAGCCTGGTGTCACCACGAGAGCTCCAGCTTGACGGCAAAAGCCTGCCTACCTCTACATCAGCCGCTCCCTTAAAGGTGCCCTTGCCAAGTGCCTCTCCAAATCGACTAGTCTTTTGAATCTTGGCCATCTCCTTATCGCCCGCTTCAGGATCGTCATCGTCCATGTTTGCCCGCGGTCGGTAGATGCTGCTGATTGCATCCTGGGCTGCAAACAGTGGCTTGTCGTAGTGATTATCCTCGTTAAATCCGCTATCAAATCCGCTCGACTGATTAAATAGTCGCGAGTCGTACATTGTCTCCTTGGACTGCGTCGGCTTGGCCAACCCCAGAGCAATCTTTTCTGAAATATCTCGGTTTTGTTCCCTTGCCATGACCTGGATACGCCGTTCAGCACCCATGCGGTTCTGTCGCAGCTTCCTCTCTTCTTCCTTCCGCTTCTCTCGTCGAGCCTTCTCTCGCTCCCGTATCTCAGAATCCTCGCTGTCGGATGCCGAGTCGGTTCTGCTGTAACTTCCCGATCGTGACCTGGAGTCTCTTGAATCGGGTGAATGCCTGCGACCGCCCGCACCGCCCGCACGCTCCTCTCGAGCCTTTTGGGCCAGCGCCCGCAGATTTTCGTCCTTTTGTGCCTTCTCCTTTTCCGCCAGCCTCTGTTGCATCAGCGCACGCTGTTGAACCTCTTCTCGTGCATGTCTTTCAGCCATCTTTACTGCCTCCGCAAATTGAGCGTGTTTGTCATTGATGCTAATGTCCTGCAAGCCACGGCCATCCGCAGCCAGGCGCTTATCTAGGGGCACTGTGAAGCCCTTTGGGTTCTTCCAGTTGGAGACTGCGGGGGGAATCTTCCACATTTCCTGGTCCTGGGCTGTGAGTTTTCGAGGTGGTGAATGCATGACGGGCGGGGGTGGTGACGGTGGTCCACGAGGAATCTTTTTATGCTTGAACTTGGGAGGTTCCATCGGGTCTCGCTGTCGCTCTACAATCTTCATGATTCGGGTTTCTTTCTGCGAGTCGTCTCCCATCTGACTGGCAGGTGTATATCGTACAAAGGTCGGGTCGTTTCTGTTCCCAACATTTATGTTCTTGGGTCTCTGTGCCGCAACAGCGCCACTGATGAGGGCTGCGAGCGCATTCTTGGTCCTCTCGGTCGTGGCTGCAACAGACTCCTTGTCGGGGCGGGACAGATCAATCTTCTCGGCATCAACACGCTGTCTTAAAGGAATCAAGTCCTTGAACGACGTGTGGATAATTCGATCATGGCTGTGTCCTCGTCGGGCGATCGCATCGGATTTGGATTTGTATTTTACAAGGGCGTCCATTGTTGTGTTGTCATGTGCGATGTGTGGATTGTTGTTGGGTTGTTGCGGCGTGGGCCGTGTGGTGAGGTGTTGGTGTTTTGTCGTTTTGTACTCCGTACTGAAATCAGTGGCGTCGCAATAACGTTGTTCCAGTCTTGCATGGCTCCCTACCATCTCTTAATGTCTACCGAGGTACCTAGATAGTTTCAGTTATTACAAAAAAAAAGAAAGAAAGAAAAAAGTTATCAGTATATTCTTATCCTATTTTAAATAAATTTTTCTTCAATAATGCGATGGTTTGGACCGAAGCCCGACCTTCTTTTGAACGAAGTCGCTGTTCAATTCGAGCACATATACTCCGTACCCTTTTACCGCTGCTGTAAATTAGGTCGGGATTAATTATATGATAAGAATGGGCTTATTAAATGGCAAATATAATAAGTAAATGAACTTATTTTTGATTGAATATAAAAAATTCATATCACTTACTTTCTATATATTTGCGTAGTTCATGACACGTGCGAGTCGCGAAACATCTGCTTGCCTGTTTGCCCCCTTCCTCGATTGCAGGTCGGAATCCCAACGTTCACTCGTATGATGATATAGCTTATCACAACCCAGATTGGGTCATACTCACTTGGTAACAAGCAGCTCATAAAACGGGAAAACTAGCAGACAAGGGGATAGATTCAATATTTATTGTTATTACACAGCTTACATTGATTGCTATTTCTCGCACTTGTCATGCAGTTTATAACACACTCATGCAGTTGCCGTTCCGCTCACCCCGTCAGTTCCGACACACGTCAAAGCCGGCTCGTAACACAGGTGATGAGCCCCAGCCACAAAGGATGCTTGTTAGCTAGGACCTTGTGTTATGGTGGAATGAAGAATATGCATTTACGATACATGCCAGCCAAAGGTCGAATAATGCAGTCATGCAATGTTCGCCGCAATTCGGTCAATTTAAATGTTTGACCACTTCTACTCCGCTGGTTTTCACAATGACCGCCAGGTTCTATGCTCATTACTATACATATCGTACCAATGTCGGCCACCCGTTCCCTTTTCCCTTTTGCCCACGTGCGCCCTCGTGACATGCTAACCAAGATAAATAAAATCAAATTAAACGTAGCCCTTACGCGCGCCCTGGAAGAAGAACCTAACGACGAACACCTGCAAAGCGCCCATGCAAACAATTAGGCCAATTTGAATGACGCTAAAGTTGACAATTCGCTTCTCTGTACTGCTAACAGTAGAAAAGTTGCGGTTCTCACGGGTGCGGAAGTATTTTTGGTTTCGTGAAATGGTGGACAGCTGGCTGGATATCTTGAAGATGGAGTCCTCGAGGACAGAGGTCTGTTCGGGGGATGTGCCTTGCTTGGAAGGCAGCTGAGCAGTTCGGGCTTCATTTTCAACCTGTGTTGTGTTGTGTTGTTAGTCTACCTTGGACAGCGCTTGGCTTCATATGGGTCCGTACCGAAATCTCGAAATCGACGTATTTCTCGGCAAAGGTGCTCATCTCGTTGTTGAAGCAGAAAGAGTATTCGCCAGCGTGTTGAGCGGTGAAGACGAAATCGCCCTGTCGCTCCTTTTCGCCTTGCAAAATCATCTTGGCATTGGGACCCTCGACAATGTAGTCGACATCGAATGAGCCGCCAGATTGGACCTGCGTGGTATACAGTAAGCGCACACTCTTGTGGCAGCGTCGCACGGCGGGTGTGACAGGGGTCATACCGCAAAGTAGAATGCAATTTTTTCGTTATCCTTTTTGGTCTCCGTATAGAAGCATGCTTTTTCGTTGGCGTCGAGCTTGTAGGTCAGAGCCGTGGCGGCAACATTGGTCGCCAGGCAGGCAATAAGGCCTGCTCCTAGTGTCGACAATCTCATGATGGCGTCGGATTCGGGATTGTCGCGTCCAACCGAGAGGGCAAGTCGAATCGCAACAAGGGGCGAGGGTTTGTCTTGTAAATTGTAGCACGTTCCTAGCCCTGCTGTGGTGATGAAATGCACCGTGTAGAGCAAAGGGGCCACGACGTCGCTTCGGGCGCGGATTTTCACAAGGACCGACCCCTGAAGGTACCCGACCTCCGCCAGGACATCTGGACCCAATTGCCAGTCGACCTCGACCCGTAGACGCTTTACTTCGTCCCCACGCGCCACAAATCACCGCGCGTCTGCCAATTAGATGACGTCGAATCAGGAGCTTTTAATGAAGCTCTTCTCCCGCAGCGCCTCAGAACCTATGACTAGCATCATCAGTCCCTCCTTGCCACTCTTCTCACTCTCTTTGCGCAATGCTGTGCTGTGTTCCGTCACATCACAACGCTGACTTCCTCTACATTCTCTCATTAACAGGCAAATAGCCATGAGCTTCACCTAAATTTTTTTCAATCATCCGACCACTTACCTAGGCATCACTCCATCCCACTTTCTGCTTAACAACATCATGCCTGTTCAGACGACCATTGCCAAGGTGACTTCGGTCGCCTTGAGAATATCCGCCATATTATTCTTCAGATTTGTGCGTCTCGTCCTAAAGTCATCATCGACATTTGGCTAACAAGATTGGATAGTTCCCAGTATGAAATGATGCTTGAAGCCCATTTGTGACAACTCTGACAGCTCCCAGGCCCACTTTCCCTCCATTACCTTTGCGCTTTTTGTAATCTACATTCCCGCTTATTTCGCTAGCTATAGAACTGGTCCGGCTCTTGAAATCGTTGATGATGAAGTCGACGTTACTGTGAAGCAGACAACGATTACATCAGAAACACCCTTGCTCTCCGAAACTGGCCAGCCGCCGGAACCAGAGGTAGCCCTGGAAGTCGAGGTTCAGGAGACAATCGTACTCGGCGAGAAAAGAGAACCGCCCTGGAAGGTGCTGCTTTACGGACACCCCAGTGCTACTCAACCAAAATTGTCTATTATCACCCTTCTCATCAACGTTGTTCTTGCGCTATTGACTGCTGATGCACTATTCCGCGCCCGTTGGTATTACTCTTCTGAAGACCTCTCGTTCGTTCGTCTGGGATACGTTTCGCCCAGTGAAGCCAACTTCCTCATCCGCGAGCCAGACCAAGCCAAGCTGCCTGTCACCTTGCAAATACGAGCCAAGACATCCGAGACATCTGTCGATGCGCCAGCCTGGTCTAATGCCGCCGACATACAGCTCACAACCAATGAAACCGACTTCACACAGGCTATTACTGTCTCTTTGACGTACTCTGAGCAACGATGGTATGATTGGAGAACGTCAAACAACCATTCCGGCGAATTCCTCAGCCCTCCTAAGCCCGGAAGCATGCCGACGGTCAATAATGGGAAGTTCACATTTCTCTCAACTTCCTGCATTCTCCCCCATTTCCCTTACAACCCAATGGACCATGCATTAGCTATTCCTGGACTCCGTCATCTAGCCAGGAAGCTTCCCGACTTAGGTGCCCAATTCATGCTCTTTTTAGGTGACTTCATCTACGTGGATGTTCCGGAACGCTTCGGCAAGTCAGCCGAGGAATATCGTATGCAATACCGACAAGTCTACGCATCCCCTGACTGGGCACCTGTCGCGCAAAACTTGAGCTGGATTCATGTACTTGATGACCACGAAATCTCCAACGACTGGTCCTCCAACACTACCGGAATTTACAGCGCTGCCGTTGGCCCGTGGCACACCTACCAAGCCAGCGTTAACCCTCCAAAAGCTGTTCAGGCCGGTACTAAAAGCACACGTCGTCAGGATGCCACTTGGTACGAGTTCGTCCAAGGGCCCGTCAGTTTCTTCATGCTAGACACCAGAAGCTACCGCTCCAGCAACAACGCTCCATTCGAAGAAGAGAGTAAAACCATGCTCGGCCAAGATCAGTTGGCGGACTTTTTGGCCTGGTTGGACCGTCCGGAACCCGAGGGAGTCAAGTGGAAGTTTGTGGCTTCGTCCGTCCCGTTCACCAAGAATTGGCCAGTGAATGTCAAGGACACTTGGGGCGGCTTTCTGTTTGAACGGCGGAAGATTCTCGAAGCCATGTGGGATGCTGGGGCTCGCGGTACATCTGTCGTAATTCTCTCTGGAGACCGTCATGAATTTGCCGCGACCAAATTCCCACCGCCTCCCGAGTCGAAATGGCCCGAATCGGCTGCGGCGCACGAATTCTCCACGAGTCCTCTGAATCAATTTGCGTCACCATTTCCAACATATAAGCAAGTTGATAGCGAGGATGTCAAGTTGCAGTAAGTTCTCTGATTCTACTTGGTGCGCATTGTGCTAATAGAAGGTAGCTATATCCCTTCCGGAAGTTCCAAATTTGGCTCGTTTACAATTAAAAATATCAATGGCCAGAGCGTATTACAATATACCTTATATATTGATGGTGAGGAGCGGTGGACCACTCAGCTCTCCGCGCCCATAGTTGAAGAAGCTGCAAAGACGAGCCGTTCGTTCTGGGACCGGTTCAAGTTCGTTTAGTGGCTCGGTCTAATTCCACTTTTCTGGCGTTGGTTACGGAGCGTTAACAGAGGTGGTGTGACTTATATTGCTGCTTGATACCCTCGGCTGGCCGCTTGTTGGTTCAATAGAATGGCAAATTTCCAGGCTGTTTGACGTGTAATTTGTACTGATGCCTTTATTCATTCAGAGTCTCCCAGCAGTCAGGTCAACATTTAGCATTGTGCCATTGCAACTAGTGCCGAGAGACATGAACCATGAACAATGGCCTCTGCCAATTTGATGTTCGGACGTCCGAAACTACCGCAGAGTTTGGACCTGGCGACTGGGTTAAGTTGGTAACTGGGCGTAATGCTCAGTAACTACCTAGTCGTCACTGCAGCTTGCATAGTTCAATATCGCATTCCTTTTTCCGTCCGCTGCCACATTCTTATTTGCAAGAATTAATTACGATGTGCATTCCACACCCATCATGCCGTTCCAAATGAAACTTTCTAGTCATAGTCGCCGACAACCATGCATGCCACATTTCCACAGTCGTCCAAAGCCGCTAAACTCGGCTTTCGTCTAGCGAACGACTCTCTGCCCCACGTTGAACTGGCCCTCGCCACACCGCCTGCCCAGAGCCCCTCCCATCCAGAAAAATTACCCGGCAGAATCCCAACTTTTCTTCAAGCTTGCTTCATCTAATACACGGTTCTCGCCAACCCGACACGCAATACTGTACACGATTACACAATGGGAGGTCCAAAGAAACGCGCATTTGACGCCAAGAACCAGCGTCCACCCAAGAAACAAAAACGACAACAAACACAACAATATGACAGCGGCTCGGGCGGCGACGGCGACGAGGACCAGGATTTTAATGCAGTGAACTTGCTCGACTCAGATGATGATATTCACAATGCAACCGTTGACGATGCGGCTAAGTCAGATGACGCCGACTCGTCAAGTTCTGAAGACGAGCAACCCAAAGTCAAGAAAGCGAAGAAGTACCCAAAACCCGCCAAGACGGCGCACAAAGACGGCGCCGAGTCTGCCGAGGAGGAAAATGAAGACGACGACAACGATGACGACGAAGAATCAGGCGTTGATGAATATGACCTTGACTCGGACAATGCCACAAGCCGCCGCAAATCAAAGCGCAATGACCCCAGCGCCTTCGCCACATCCATCTCCAAAATTCTTTCCACAAAATTGTCATCGTCAAAACGCTCCGACCCTGTCCTCTCGAGAAGCGCGGCCGCACACGAAGCCTCGAAAGCAGCCGTCGACAGCGCCTTAGAAGCTAGGGCAAAGCGACACCTGCGTGACCAAAAGAAGAAGGCTTTAGAAAAGGGCCGCGTCAAGGATGTCCTCGTAGCCAGCCGGGACGACACCACCGGCGAGGTTGAGTCGTCAACAGCGGAGATTCTAGAGGCGGAGCGGAAGCTGCGCAAGGTTGCACAAAGAGGTGTGGTTAAGCTATTTAATGCCGTAAGAGCTGCGCAAGTCAAGGCCGCAGAGGCGGAGAAGGACGCGAGGAAGCAGGGCGTCATAGGTATTAATAACCGCAAGGAAAAGGTGAACGAGATGAGTAAGAAGGGATTTTTGGATCTTATTAGCTCCGGGGGCGGAGGTTTGAAAAAGGGCGCTTTGGAGGAGGCTTAAGTGTGTCGGTTTGTTTCCTCGTGGGTTCAGACAAACCTTAGGAAGTAATAAACAGGCGCTGGTTAGTGATTCTTGTTCGGTAAGAGGAGTTAAGCAGGTATATGTAGTACTTTTTTAATCGCCTGAAAATGCAGTCAACGATACCCCCCAGTATGTCCCCCCGCGTTCTTCGACTCTGGACGGTGGGAAATCGTCCTTCTATCCACACATATTGTACAAGGTGTTTTATAAGGGGTATGTCCCAGCAGCTACTGTTACATTGTCATGGTCTCATTGGAAATCGCTGGCCTGTAGATTCCGCGTCATCGACGGCAGCTTGACAACTAATCCGTCCAGCTCCTTTGTCATCTTCACCTGACAGCCCAGTCGGCTCGTTTCGGTCAGGCCGAATGCCAGATCCAGCATGTCGTTTTCGTCATCCTCCGGCTCGGGCATCTTATCGTAAAACTCCTCGTTGGTGACAATGACGTGGCACGTTGAGCAGGCACATGAGCCGCCGCATGCACCCTCCATTTCGAGATCGTTGGCTTGAGCGATATCTAGAAGGTTGTCGCCTTCGGAGACTGCGAACTTGTGTTCCTCGCCATCTTTTTCAACAAAGGTAACGTAAAGTCTAGGATAATCAGTAGTTTGTTCAATTTTTTCATGATATTGTTATCGCTTGTATTTATGGCTGCACTCACTCTTCACCAGGCTTCGGGGGGTCAATGTGGCCGTGGCGAGTTGGTGTGGTGCTTGAGAATGATCGATGCGCGGACACGGACAAAGGGATTACTCGGGGCGCACTCCGACTCTGTGTTGAGAACTTCGATGTGAAGGATGCCATTCGAATCGCGCGTGCTTTTCGCACTCGTCGACAGGCCGTGGCAGGCACCGTCACAAGACGACATGCGAGCGTCCTTGCAGCCGATGACATTTTTTTCTTGGCGATGTGACTGGTATGGGCCCCGGAGATGCGTCCCCAAGTTGCTCAAGGTATCGTCTCTCGTCGCTTGTTGGATCGCAAAAAGCCAGTGCACTATAAAATCGACTCTCGTAGTCCCAATTGACCTTCAGTGCATGGTGCAGGGCGACGCGAAATACGGATGTCGTCGGAGGATGGCCACGCAGGATCGAAATCAAAAGCGCTCGCAGTTCCGAGCAAGGAAAAACGGCTTGCAAATGCAGCTCCGATAAGTGGCGCGTTGTCGAAGCGCTGTGGCCATTTGGACAGGGAAGTCGCAGGTCCATCCAGCGCCGACTCGCACCCGGGAAATCCATTCGCCGTCAGCCGCCGCGGTCCCTATTATCTCCGAGCTCCCAGATGATGATTTCATTCCTCGTCGCAGCTACAGCAAGCTTCCAACGCCACGGGACATCCGGCACCTTTCAACGGGCGCATTCCAAATGATTCTTCTCCCTCAACACCAACCATGACCACGCAGAGAGACGGCGTGAATCCGCTACGGCCCTACTATAGGGCGCCTGTCATAGGCGAGACGGCGGATCCCGCGTCGCCATCAAGCGCAAACCCCTTCGCTGCGGGCAATGCGACGGGGACTGCCCGCTACGCGTCCAAGGCGCGCGATGTACTTGCCGATATCGATTACAAGGACTATTTGAACGACTCGTCGCCGTCGGTGATACAGAACGCCAAGGAGCTGGTAGAAGAGCTGATATGGAAGTACACGTCCGTGTTGATGGCCCAGCCTTTCGAGGTGGCAAAGACTATTTTGCAAGCTCGTGATCAGGATGAGAATGCTGTCTGGGCAACTACAGAGCCAGGGGGGTTGAAGAGGCAAAGTTCTAGCCAGGCAGGCTCATTATACGACGTGAGAATGGACTCCGCCCACAGACTCTCAAGTGCATGGCTGACCTGCACAGTATAATGACTCCGACTCCGAAGGTGATGAGGCCGCGTTTTTCACCTCTTATACGCCCGGCACGCCCACCCCTTCATATAACAGGAGCTTAGGCAGTCGTCGTGCCCAATCGCCGCTGCAGTCACAGGGCCCCAAGCGGCCTATGATTCCCGAGCATTACATTACTATCCGTAGACCAGACTCGATTCTCGACGTCATCGGGCAACTTTGGCAAAAGGATGGCGCGTGGGGTGTTTGGAAGGGCTCAAATGCCACTTTTCTGTATACTGTGCTTCAATCTTTGCTTGAAAACTGGTCGAGAAGCTTTCTCAGCGCCATTTTCAACGTTCCCGATCTGGGTGTCAAGGAAGATATCGATCGGCTGATTGACATTGCGTCACCATACCCTTGGGCCTCGCTGTTTGTAGCTGCTACTGCTGCGGTTGCGACTGGCGTGCTCTTGTCTCCACTGGATATTGTCCGCACAAGGTTGGTCTTCGACAAATTTCTATATATCGAGACGCCGCTTACCATGACAGACTCATCATGACCCCAATTTCCAAGGGACAGCGCCGAACACTTGCTAACCTTCGAGCTCTCCCTTCCTACCTTTGCCCGTCGGCAATTGCAATCCCGACTGTTCTGAACTCTCTCATACACCCCCTCCTAACACTGTCGACGCCACTGGTGCTCCGAACCCGCTTCCTGATTGACAGTCAGGTATCACCAATGACTTTCTCTGTGGCCAAATTCTTTGCTTCTTCAGCTGCTATTCTTATCAAATTGCCTATTGAAACTACACTGCGGCGCGGCCAGATGGCCGTTCTCTCTAGCCCAGATTATATCAAAGCTCTTGGAGGTACAGAACAGAAGCTCGACACCATCGTGCCTATTGGCCGATATAACGGCACCATTGGTACTATGTACCACATCGCTTCAGAAGAGGGCACTCGCGAGAACCCGGCCATATCCAACCCTGCCGCTAAGAAGGGAAAAGCCAAGACCAAGTCTTTCCAACCTGCCCGCATCAAGGGACAAGGCCTGGAAGGTCTCTGGCGAGGCTGGAAAGTGAACTGGTGGGGACTTGTTGGTCTCTGGACAGCAAACGTGGTGGGTAACGGCGGCGAGGGCGAATTCTAGACTTCCAATGTATTATCTTTATGCGCCTAGAAGCGCAGCATTTTCAGGCATGGCGTTGCGCGTTGCGTGTTGCGGGCGATGAATCTCCTCTACGACTTTTTGACGGGCCTCTATGATATCCACATCCATTTAGTTCAATGTACTAAAGCAATAATGTGTATTACCAATACTCGCTCGGCTGGCTGACTCGACAGAATTGTGAACCTTGCCTTGTCAGAAAGCTATGCCTGTTATATGAGGAAATTAGTGATACGAGAAATCGGACCGGCAGACCTTGGCATTGTAGAAACGACAAGGGGTGTGTGCATCCTTTTGGTTGGTTTGTGAGAGTCAGGTGAAGTGATGTTGTACTGGCTCTTACAATCCCAGCACCACTTGGTGAGAGTGTAATTAGTCACTGCATGTGCTGCCACGGCTTTTCCTCGAGTGACTTAGGTGGCTACCTACTAGGTACCTAGGTAGTTTCAGCGCATCAGGTCGAGTCCATGTGCGTTTTCACTGTGCGCACATGAAGATAAGGGCTTCGCATCGATATGCTTGTTAATGGTAGCACTTGAGAGAAAGAGGCTTATGATTTCTTCAAAGATTGTGGCTTATACGCGAGGGGCTTGTAGCTTGCCCTCAACATTGAATACCTTTGGGTCTGTGGTATGAGTGAGGGTCGTGGCGCTTATTCAAGTTGATGATCTGTGTGCCTTGCTCAACCTACTCTCAACCTACTAGGCACACAACCAGGATAGGTATTACTAGGTATTATTGTACTTAGGCAGTAGTATGACCATTTGGTTTTAAAAATTTCTACTAAGAATAAAGAAGCCGTGAGATAACGAAGAGGACGCCATATTTTCTAGTTTTCCACCATGAAAACCATGGGATGATTTATTAGTGGTGGTTTTGGTCCACGTCAAACTTTGGAGTTGTTCCCGGGTAGGTCCTCAGACCCTGGGCCACATCGCTGTTGACCCGTCCGTCACGTGGACTGGCGTTCTGTCTTTAGTCAGATGCTAATCGAAACGAAAGGACGTGAGCGAATCAGTTCATCTTGCTGCACAGCAATTTCAACAGGGCAGCAATTGCGTGTCTGCTTATTGCAGATGCACGGAAAAAAGCGCTGACCAAGGTCTGTGAGCGAGATGCGTATTCGCGTATATAGACCCTGATCTACCGCGACCGAACAAAAAATATGGCAACCTCTGCTGAGAAGCCTATCAAAACTGGGGATGCTATTGCAAGTCATTTGGCGCCACGAAAATTCAAAGCATCTGATCTTCCGCTGTCTTCGGCAACGCGAGCTGCAATAGAGTCTCTGAAACACAGTTTCAAGAAGGGCGGTGCCTACGACTCCATCCGAAAGCAAGTCTGGGATAAATTCGGAGCCAGTGTATGACCTACTACGAGCCTAGCTAGAGTGCTGGAAGACATGCTCACATAATTTACAGGATTGCGAGGCCATAGTCAAACAGGCGATCCTCGAGGTAGCGGAGAAGGAGGTCGACCGCAATCCGCAGCAACTCCTAACCCTTGATCCACGAAAGGCGAGCGCCCTGATCGATGGTGCGCTGGAACGATCTGGTGTCTACCAAAAGGCTGAAGGCATCATTGCTAAACTGATCGACGTCGACGCCATCGAGGAGCGCATTCGCGAGATTCGACGAGCTGAGATTGGCGAAGAGGCTGCCGAGGCAGAGCGCATCCGTGGCGCAAAAACCGACGAAGAGTACGCTGCGGATACAGTGGCACGGCAGGCAGAACGTGAACGAGTGCGTGAAGAATTGCGCCTCAAAGAGGCCGCCATTGAAGAAGAGAAGCGCCGCATTAAGCAGGAGGAACAGAAGAAGGAGGAGCGGGAACGGGCACAAGCTGAACTCAAGCGCCAGGCAGAAAGAGACGAGCGCCGCAGAAAGCGAGAAGAGGAACGAGCCGAGAGAGAACGGCTTCGAGATTTGGAGCGAGAAAAGAGGCACAAGGAGCGTGAGCTTCGTGAGAAGGAGAGAGAGCAACGAGATCGCGAGCGCTCTGGGGATCGATCCCGGCACCGATCCCGAAACCGGTCAAGAGACCGATCCAGAGACAGATCCAGAGACCGATCCAGAGACCGTTCCAGAGACCGTTCCAGGGATCAAGATAGGGACAAGGACAGAGGACGGGATCGGTCGAGGGATCGCCGGCGCGATAGGTCCAAGACCAAAGAAACAGCACCAGATCAAAAGATGTCCAAGGAAGACAACGAAAGGCTGGAACAGGAGGCGCTAGCAGACCTTTTACGGGAAAGCTCCCGATCTGACCACGCAAAGCCTGAGCTTGAAGTTGATGCCGCGCTAGCACCGCCCCCTCGAAAGAGCGCCCCTGCATCCGCAATCAATCCCATAAAGCGCGACGCTCGCAAGACCAGTGAAAATGGTTCTAGAAGCGAGAGACGAGACTCTCGAACAGCTGGAGATTCAAAGTTGACCAGTTCACGTGACGAAAAGAGATCAAGCCGCAGCGCGTCTCGGGCTGGGGACAGGGATCGTGAGAAGCACAGGGAGAAGAGTCGTCAGCGTGAGGATAGTCGCCGACGGGACAGACGTTCCCAATCCCCCAGGCGAGAAAGAAGCCGATCTCGTGACCGGGACAGGCGCGAGAGAAGTCGATCAAAACTGCGACGGGATAGGACCCGGTCTCGGCCGAGGAGAGACGAGCGTCGTGAGCGAAGTCGCTCACGGGACCGTGCCGATCGGCGTAGGAGTCGGTCGCGACGAAGAGAACGCACCCGATCCCCCGCACGATCTGAACGACGTGAGCGGAGTCGGTCCCGCACAAGGACAGACCGTAGGGACCGAAGCCGTGAGCGAGACCGATCCCGCACGCCAGTCCGCACAGAAAGGCGCAGGAGTCGGTCTCGAAGACGCGAGCGGAGTCGGTCAAGGGACAGTCGCCGCGGCGTAGCAGATCGATACGATCACTATGATCCTCGGGCGTCAGCCCGCTCTCCGCGACGGCGCAGCGGGGAGCGAGCTCGTGACAGGGACAGGGACCGCGATAGAGACGCGGACCGGGACAAACCCCGAGACCGTGATCGTGACAGAAGGAGCCGCTCCCGCTCCCGCCCCGGCACATCTGTCGTCCGCACAGCCTCCGCCGCCCGCGAAGAACACGAAGAGTGGAAACTAGAAGAGGTGCGGAAACGGGAGAAGGAAGCCAAGGCTTACCTGGCGGCTCAGAAGGACGCCAAAGCCAAGGGTCTCCCCATCCCCGGTGTAGACGACAAGAAGACTGGTGAGTGCGCTGCATGCATATGTACCAACCGCAACTCTAACTCTTTTCCCGTTTCAGCCCGTGACGACCGGCGCAGAAGCAGATCGAGGAGCCACAGTCGCGATAGGACCAGATACCGCGACCGTGACCGCGACCGCGACCGCGACCGTGACCACGACCGTGATCGTGGCCGCGATAGGGATAGGGATAGGGATAGGGATAGAGGAAGGGATAGGGACAGAGACAGAGAGAGGAGTCGTGAGCGGGACCGGGACCGGCGCGACAGAGACCGCGACAGGGACAGAGATAGAGACAGAGACAGAGATAGAGACAGGGACCGCGACAGGGACAGAGACAGAGACAGGGACAGAGATAGGAATAGGGATAGGGATAGGGATAGGGACAGGGACGATAGACGCAGACGAGATCGCAGTCTCTCTCCTCGACGAGAACGGAGGCGCAGCCGCTCGACTAGTCGGCGTCGACGAAGCAGGAGCCGCTGATCGGAGGATGTATTAATGACCATGATACCCGGGCATGTACGAGGGACCCCGTGTGCTCAGTTGCACATGACGGCGCCCAATCAGCTCTGTAGACTACGCATACTTAGTACTTTAGGAAGACACCACACAGCCAGGGCGAGTTTGTTTTGTATTCATTGCTTTTTGGGGGAACGCTAAAAATGGCTACACTTCTATTATATTATATAATGGGTTCTTTATTACAAATACGTGATTTTATTCCGTGCCAAACCAAGCCGGCAACTTCAGCGTCTTGGTCGAAGGGTCGTAGTGTTGCAGCGCGGCAACAAAAACAAACAAGCCGCCAAAGATGAAGAAGGAGACGAGGACACACCTCCTCGAGGCGGACGATCCCGAGCTTCGGGACGCCGCAGCCGTTGCCCCCCACACACCGGATGCCCATGCTGCAGAGGATTGAAACAGCTTCGACAGCTGTTCGTAGCCGAGGGAGTAGTACGTCAAGCCGGCGAGGGCAATGGCATAGCCAATGGTTTGCATGAAGCTGATCTTGGTGTGCCAGATGACAATGGACACGAGGATGAGGAGGATGTTTTTGAAGATGCCGGTGAGGGTCATGACTAGACCCGATGTACGTCCAATCTGAAGTCGTTAGCTTATTTGAGATGTTCCTCCCTTTATGTAAAGTGGAGTGTGAAGGCAACATACCAGGAAGACGCTGGTGACGTTCAGCAAAAATGCAATGGACGCGTTGAGGAACAACATGCCCACGCCGACCTTGGATACGGCAGCCCAAGTGAAGGTGGGGAGCTCGCTTGGCATCGCGACGAGGAAGTTCATGACGGCGCAGACTGGAGCAAAATAGTAGAGTCCGACAAGGGGGTCCATCTTCATGCCATCGCCACTAAGTAAGACTTGGATCATGATGATACGGATAGCCTCAAAGACAATACCGCCCATTTGGTACATGAAGCCGATCAAGGAAAAATGAATCTCTCCCACGGAAGCCAGAGCCACACCGGCAACAATCCATAGGACGTTTAGGAAGGATGCCAGGTTGGGTTCGGCAACGCGCCATGCCCACGAGGTGAAGAGGACTGCGACGGGCGCAGCGGCCTTGAGCATCTGAATAAAGGGGACAGAGAGGTAGAGGTAGACGACATTGGAGCAGACGAGGGAGCCGGAGTAAAAGATACCAATGGGAAGGATTGTTCGAGCATAGAGGCGAGGAGTCAGGGGCAGCTTCTTGCGGGAGTCGAGGAGCGTCGTGGTTCGAGCGAGGACTTGGGTAGCAATGGTAGCAAAAACCAGATGCCAACATGTGAGAAGAATTGCTGTCGTCGCGGTCAGTTTTGTTGTCTGGCATGTATATAGGTTTTTTTTTTTTTTTTTGATGTGTCACGGGGCCTCTGCTCGAGCACCGAACTTACGGAAGCCTGGGACTTTGGTTAGCAGTCTGGTTCCAAGAGTAGCAGGATTATCATCAAGGAGTACTCACGAAATGCCTGCGTGTCTATTAACCACTTGTTGAACAAAATGGTAAGGTTGGAAATGAAAATCCATAATCTACATTGGGGCGAGCTGCAGGTTAGCGGCCTTCCCCAAACAGAGCAGACAATGATAGCCATCTAGGGTCGCGGGCATGTCGATCCGGGATCACCGCTTGTTTGAAGCCGCAAATTTATAAAAAAAAAAAAACGTACGAAATATACACGGCAGTGTGTAGCGTCTTCTTGAGAGGTGGCTCTATCTTTTCGGCGGCGAGGCGAGGAGGAATGTCGTCGTCCATCTCAAAGGACGACTTGGCCGGGCTCAAGGACGACTTGGCCGGGCTCAAGGCCGACATTGTGGTGGTCGGGGTGCTGGCGCTCGAAGAGTAGGAAGAGGAGGACATTGCCAGTCGGCGGGGCGACATGGAACGGCAGCGAGCGATGGCAACTTGGCCGGCCATGCGAGGACGCTCAACTCGTTATGAATTGTTGTTTGCCGTGCGTGCGCGGGACGCACACATGTAGGTAGCAGAGAGTAGGCGGACAGCAAATTCGGCCCAGAGTGCCTAGCTGCAGAGGAAGGACGACGATGCCGGCTGCCGACGAGACACGAGACACGAGACACGAGACGACCAGTGGATGGCGTGGATGGTGTTGAAGGCAATGATTGAAAGCGGGCTTCTTGTCGCCGTGTCAGGAGAAGATTGAATGCCTAGTTTGGGTCAAAGCGTGGCGCCGACAGCTGCGACCGACAGCGTCGAGGGCGCTGGCGTCGGGCTGAAGAAGATGGCGCACTTCAATGTCGGAGTAGATGCAATGTTGCACATACATGCACAAGCTTTGCTGGACGCGACTATTGAAACCGCCGACTGCTATTATCGCACCTTGATAAGGAGCATTGAACTTGGACGGGGCCCCTTTTCAGCATCTACGGCGTAATTGTGCTGTCCGGAGCGACAGACGAACCGCGACAAACTTGAGATTGAATCGAGTCCGAGTCATAAGTTCCTAAGTTGGTACTCGGCTCCACCAAGTGACAGGCAATCCCCCGACGAGACGAACTGGGTTTAATCGTGCCTGCCCGCCCCGCCCTGCCCTACATACTACATACCTAGGCACGCGGGTTGCAAAAAAGGCCGCACACCTGTGTGTGTGGTTGTGGGTGCGGGGTGTGCGGCCTTTTTTGCAACCCGCGTGCTAGGTAAGTACCTAGATGTAGGCCTGGGCTCAGTGGGCTGTTACCAGTGACCACCCAAGATGCACGAACAAATGAGATAAAAATACCTACCTGGGGGCGCATTCCGGCTTCGTCGAGCGTCTGTCCGTGGCTGCATCTCGCACCAGCCATCACAGCCAACCACCAGCGCCAGCAACAAACTTTTGTTGGCTTGGGGTCCGTTCCGATTCTCATCACCTCGCCTCCATGAAGCATTTGATACCGCGAAGCCGCCATATTCACAGGAATCTGCCATTACCGGTCGATGGAGCCGCGTCTCCCAAGTCGCAGCCCACGTGGTGGTTGTGAATGGCTGTCAGTCCAAGAGAGATCGCTGCCCCAGAAATCATCTGGCCATCGGGTGTTTTGTGCTACGAGGGCCGCACCATTCGCCCGTCACCTGAAATCTCGTGTTGGAGAGCCTAGTCAGGGGGGAAACCGCTCCATGTCTGGTCTTGACTAGTCAGGCCCGACACCTCTCTCCAACCCCTTCCTGTCTGCGGTATACACATGTTTAGCCTTACGAGTCTGTGTCGTCTTCATCACAATGTCCGCGAGTCGTGTGCCAAGAGATAAGCTTGGTAAACCTTGACAGTGCCATGTCATGAGTAGTCATGATTGGGTCCGCTGCATTCTGTCTAATTTACCTACATACCTAGGTATGTACGGAGTAGTGGTATGCTGCGCCAATCCCTTCTTTCTCAACCTCCCCTCACCACTACGTCAAACAATAAACGACGCTCACCCGAGACACCTCACCTCCATGTCGCCTAGTATAATATACAGTAACACCGCGCAATTCGAGTGAATGAAATGAATGCCATTTGAACTCCATCGCTATGCAATTCCCTAACATGAGCGGCTTCCTCCATTGATGAGTGATGTAGAACCAGAAACCAACTCTCGCTATTCCCTAATCTCACTCCTTGACCCTGTTCTTCCTGTAAGCTTCGTCCTCGTCAAGCGTCTAGTTAGACATGCCTGATCTTATAGACTCAGTCATCGTCGGTTCATCCATCGTGTCCGCGCTAGTGTTGATAGTCTCCGGCGTTAATGTACCGCTTGCTGGGCTCGGGATAAAGCGCAGTTCTGAAGCTGCTCTTTCTTCAACAACACTTTCTTCAATAACAGGCAGTACTTGCGCTTCGCTGATGCTTTTATGATTCTCAATATCAGCTCTGTTCGCCGTCTCGAGAGACTCCGAGATTGGTGTTGAGACTCCCTGAGCGTCCTCCGTTTTGTCCGTTTCGCTTTGCAGAATCATACTAGGATCCACGCATTCATAAAATAACATAAAGACACCCGGCGACAGGGACATGATGACGTCTTCGTCGACTTTGCTCACATTATGGTCGCTCAGCCGCCACCAGCCCGAATTATGTCGATGAGGTGGTGTCGAGCCCTTCTTTTGATCAGCATCGCCAGCCGCTTTATCCCGGTCATGAGTGTCGTGAACATCAGCGGAGGACGAGTCTTTGTCTTGGGAGAGCCCCGAATCAGGATACTTTCTATAACAGATATAGTGGCCGTTCTCATGACGTCCGTAATGCGTCACCGCAGCTCGCAATTCGTATATGGGTCCCGTCAACCTGGACGGGCTCAAATCTCCAGCGATCATGGATGATTTGGGGTCCAACAACCACTGTTCCTCGCTGGATTCGTCATGACTGGCTAGCTTTTCCTCGACATCTTCTGCGCTACCCAAGCACCACGGTCCTAAATCCAGCGTCATTGGAAAGGAAACGGGTGCTGAGTTTTTGATCATGTCAAACGTTCGTGGATCAAACACGGATCGGTTGACATGAATTGCTAGGCTTTGCGGCGGACGCGCAATGACTATTTGCTTCGTCTTGGTCGTGGTGACTTTTCCCTGGGCCGAAATTTTGCACTTTTCGGTAACCGTCTTATCGTCGAAATCATCTTCCTCTAGAGCTAGCTCAACTGCCTCGAGCCTGCGAAGAGGCTCCTCCATTTGCTCCGAAGTGGAACCATTTTCCTTCAGTTTCTCAATCAGTTTACTAAGGAGCCTCTGCGCTTTAAGCAGGGTACACTTGGGGCATTCGACTCCCTCAATCGCCTCGACTTTGCTATATGAATCAAGTCTCTCATAGAGGTCATGTTGATTTTTATCCACGCCCAGGCTGAGGGTCAGACAGTTGAATGGAATCATGGACAAGCCCTCGGAATGACCGCATTGAACGCAGGCCACACGCTGTGCTAATAGCCCCTCTAGTGGGTTTCGCAACGTCTTCTTTGCCGCCAAATCCGAACTCGAAGCAAGGCTTTGGTATCCGCTGTCATCACTGTGCCCGCTTGTGGAAGAGTCGTCCTTGTTGCAGTCCGCTTCTAGCCCTGAATATCGGCGCATGGATTTGACGGCTCTGGCCACGCTTTTGTCAATGTCATCGAGGACTTTCGAAAAGTATTCCTGAGCATCTTGCTGAGTCCAGGTACTCATAGATTTGAGTAAACTAGGAGTCCATATCGTTCTTCCATTATTTGATGTGTCGTTTAAATCGGCAATAAGGGACCGCAGCGTATGGGCTACGTCGTTGGTCGGTCGATGCGTGTCAATAGCTCGTACGCACGTTGACAGATACTCAGGGAACGAGGGAAGCGACGCGAGCCCCTGCAGGATGCTGTTTTGATAACAAGAATTATCGCGGTTACCCAAACCAGCCGGCCGCTCAGAATCCAACTTCAAGCCCAGAACACAACCTGTGACAGACAAGGCCCTGCTTCTAGCTTGAAAGACTGATTCCATCATGCCGCCTGAGCGGTCCAGACCCATAACCCTCCTCATGACCTCACTTTTGGCGGCATGTGTACCTGGCGGCGATTCTGACATTGAACTCGGGTTCAGCCAGTTGTCGAGTACAACGATTAATGGAGTTGGTACAATAAAAACGACAAAGTCCCACAAATATGTTGTTGTAGTGTAAAAAATGACGTCTAGAGACAGCTCTAAATTGTAGGCCTTGGCCACGCATGCGACCAAGAGCACAACCGCAGTTATGATAATGGTTGGCTCGTTGAAGCGATCCAAGATGCGCTCTTGAGACTGAACGTGGCGATGAGCCCCCACCCGATCGTCATAAAAATTATTGAAATGAGGCTGCCGTGAATTCATGCTGCTAGAAGTTGGTGGTAAGAGCTGTCGGAATCCGACCATGGGAAGGTGCAATGCTCATTGGAGATTCTGCAGCGATTCAAGGGGTTGACATGGCCAGTGGATGTGAAGGGAGATGATAATTGTGCGTCGGCTAAAGCGAGTCGTCTGAGAGATTGGCCATTCGGAACCATATGAAGCAAAGCGACACTAATTTTGCGTTTTCAGAGGTGGGTGACAACGGCTGGACGGAGCTCTCGCAAGTTTGTGTGTCTGGTTGTCAAGCAGTCTGTTCAGAAGCAATCAATGCGCTTATGTCATGCCCGCTCCAGCCGTCTGGCCGTGGTGGGCCCTCAGTGCTGTGTTGTTGTTCTCTTCGGAGGATTTCACGTGCTCTGCAGGCAGGTGCCGCCAGTTTACCTGCATGCCATTGGCACTTGACCATGGGACCACGCGGGTTGCAAAAAAGGCCGCACACCCCGCACCCACAACCACACACACAGGTGTGCGGCCTTTTTTGCAACCCGCGTGGGGACATGCTGGGGCGATGGAGACATTGATTAATTGACCAACATTGAAGTTACCAACTTACCCCGTAAGGACCCCGGCTTTTTAGTATTACCCATAGAGTTTTCGCCCACCAACGACTTACATTATCACGTCCAAAATATCAGTGTAACGGGCGGGCTGTAGAGTAAATAGCAGAACATGGCTCTCCCATCTTGTCCTGTCATAGGAGCCTTGAGGTAGGCATGCATCGCATTCCCAGGAGGGCATTGTTTGTTCTGACTGACGTGCTGAAGGCTCTTTGGAAGCCGAGGCCTGAGAATGGCGAGACCAGCTCCGCGAGTACGACATGATTTCCGCAGCTACGCCACGACCTTGGAATCCAACCGCCAGGGCTTGATCCTGAAGGTCAGCGAGGGTGCAAAATCGAGCCCGAAGCGATTGTAAGCATATTCAATCTCGTCGTGGCGTATTGAGCTAACACTAACACGCCGTCAAGGTCACAATTTTGGCTCCGGTATGTTTGAGCAAGAAACGTCGTACAAGCGGACAGCTCAAACTGACTTACTACAGCGACAACTGTCGTTGTGCAAAATGTGTTAATCAAGACACTATGCAGAGAAGTTTCAACACGTTCGAGGTATGCCGCTCTTTTCTAGCCCTTGTCCAGGTGCGCCTCGTCATACTGACTACAAAAAGATATCAGACAAGATTGCCGCCAAAGCCATTCATCAAAACGAAGATGGAGTTGAAATTACATGTAGGATCTGTCGATAGGATTTCTGGCTTCCTCCACGCTGACCACTGGCCGAAAGGGTCTGACTCTCACCAAAGTAGCTACTCATGGTCGTGGTTGCGGTCCGCAATATACGGCGTCGAAAACAAAAAGTTGAAAACCTTGGGGTGAGTCCTTTTCCATCATTGCAAGGTTTACCAAAAGAAAAAGGGAAAAATAATAATATTTCCGCAAGTAAGTACTCACCTCTTGTAGTGACCAGACCCTCTGGAACGCTTCCATAGCATCCAACCCCCCAGAAGTGTCATTTGACAGTGTCATGGCAAAGGGCGACATCTCTGGGATGGCGGATTTAACTGAAAAGATTGTGAGTCGTACCCTCTGTCAAAATGGTCTTATGCTAACATAAACAGCGTGGCTATGGTATGTGTTTTGTCACCAACACACCCAAAACACCCGAGGCTACGAATGAACTTCTAGAGGCCATTGGCCCCATTCGCAACACCCACTATGGAGGCTTCTACGACTTCGTCCCAGATTTGGCCAAGGCTGATACGGCTTACACCAACTTGGCTCTTGCTGCGCATACTGACACGACGTACTTTACTGAACCGGCCGGCCTACAAACTTTCCACATGCTGTCCCACACACCGCCGCCCAATAAGGCAAATGACGACGGCAGTCTGGGCGGTCAGTCTCTTCTTGTGGACGGATTTTATGCTGCCTATAGGTTGAAGAAAGAATTCCCCGAGGCATATGAGACTCTCCGAGAGGTCAGACTCCCCTGGCATGCAAGCGGAAACGACGGCGTAGCCATTGTGCCCGACAGAGCTTACCCAGTGATTGAAGCGTCCCCTTATAAATTCCATCGAGTGCGCTGGAACAATGACGACAGAGGAGTCGTTCCCTTAAATGTGGATGTGGACAAGTGGTACAGTGCAGCTCGGAGATGGGATAGCATTCTGAGGCGAAAACGGAACGAATACTGGTTCCAGCTCGAACCGGGTCGAGTTCTGAGTATGCTGAACTCAACTACCTTGCATGTTACGAATGTGCGTTTGCTGACCGCTACAGTCTTTGATAACTGGCGGGTTCTCCACGGCCGGAGCGCTTTCGAGGGACTGCGCCGGATATGTGGCGGGTATAGTAAGTGATGGCCGACTCACGAATGTTTTTTCCATCGCTAATGATACCCCAGTCAACCGCGACGACTTTATCTCTAGGTGGAAAACCTCCAACTTCCCCAGAAGTGAAGTTATTGCGGCAAATATGCAGCTGAAATAGCTCTGAGCCAGGTTCGGCAATTGCTTACTCGGGACATTGACAACTGATACCCAGATATATAGACCAACGATTTTTGTAGCTAGATACCATCCTCTGGACATCAATGAGCAACGTATTTATCCGCGCATCTTCACGTGTTACCCGTTAGCACCCCACGCCTCCCGAATTTATCCTCCAACTTGCCATCCCCCTGTTTTTTTCTTGTGTGTCGAGTTCTTTCCAGTCGAATTCGGAGCATCTATATGGATACCCCGCCATTGCATCCCCACACATTCACCAACGAGAGATTTCAGGCAAGCCGACATTCAAACCCAGACCCTGTCCGGCAATTTGCGGTCAGAGGCGCTGCTGAACGACTTTTGTAGAGGGGAGGGGCAACCGCAGCGCTTGGCTGCACCGGCTGCTTGTCCGTGGTGACAGCAGTCCTGCAGCGCATGTTTGATAGGCCCACGAGTCAGAAGCGTCCAGGGAATATTTAGCGAACTATCAAACAAGTATAGGGCCCACAGGTTGTGTCAACACGCATCATTGTTTGATGGAGAGTTGTAGACAGTTGGGCAGACAAGTTGGGGAGGCACTGTGATGGGTCATGTACGGGGCCGCGCAGTAAATGTCTCATGTATGTACATGAGTACGACGGGTAGGAAACGCAAATAAGACGAGTCGTCTGCCCCGAGCTGTGGAGGGTGTCGGGGTAATTTGTGATTCCCACCTCGGACATGAGTCCTTGAACCATACTCACTCAGCTCAACGGAACATTTCGAACGCAGACGCTACAAGATGGCAACGGATATGAAGAACGGTGCTTTCGAGCACGACAACATGGATATCCCCAAGGGAGATCGTGTCCTGCCCATGTTTTCACTCAAGGGCCGGACAGCAATTGTGTCTGGTGCGGGAGCAGGCATTGGCCTTGGAGTGGCCCAGGCATTTGCTGAGGCCGGCGCCAACGTGGCCATCTGGTACAACAGCAACAAGCAGGCCGTCACGGAAGCAGAGAAGATCCAAAAAACGTACGGCGTCAAGTGTGCGTGTTCCCAAAACACGACGGTCCAGGATGTGCAAAACCACTGACATGGCGGTCATGTAGGTAAAGCGTACCAAGTAGACGTCATCTCGGCCGACGCTGTCGACAAAACCGTCGGCGAAATCATCCGCGAATTCAATGGCCGCCTCGACATATTCGTGGCCAACTCGGGCATCGCCTGGGAAGACGGACCATTCCTTGACGGAAGCATTGAAACTGCCAAAAAGGTCATGGCCGTCAACGTCGACGGAGTCATGTGGTGCGCCAAGAGCGCGGGCACTCACTTCCGACGACAGAAGAAAGAGGGCAAGACGATTGACGGCAAGCCCCTGGAGAACTATATCTGCGGTAGCTTCATAGCGACGGCGTCGATGAGCGGAAGTATCGTGAATGTGCCACAGCTGCAGGCTGTGTACAACGGGTCCAAGGCTGCCGTCATTCACTTTTGCAGGAGTCTTGCGGTGGAGTGGACAGGGTTTGCGCGTGTCAATACCGTTTCGCCGGGATACATTAAGACAGAGATTTTGAGCTTTGCTGAAGCCGAGACGATGGAGCAGTGGAAGAATAAGACTCCCATGGGGTAAGTATGCCTGGTCCAAGTGTTTTGGCCTTGTGCTGTTGCTGATTGACTGTGTGTTTGAAGACGCGAGGGGCAAGTAAGCGAGCTCAAGGGTTCGTATTTGTACCTTGCGAGTGATGCGGCGTCTTATACCACCGGCTTGGATATGATTGTGGATGGGGGATACACCCTGCTATAGATCTTTCGCGCTGACGGGCGAAAATGCGCATGACAGTCTTGATGTTGTGAGTCGTGATAATGACAGACGGATGGTCTCTAGAGCATATTGGATACCTTCTAGAAGGATTGATTTGAAACCGATCTGCACAACTACGCTATTGACAAAAGAAGAAAAAAAAACACTTGCATGTATGTATCCCTTTGGTTGTGTTAAGGCTCCAGTCGGGTATCTGCAGGGATATATATCCATAGGAAGCTAAATTTAAAAAGGTAGTACATTTATTTACTAATAAATCAAGTGATAATAAGAGTATTCATAAGATAATGCTCTACAAGTCACTACATCTAACTCAATACCGCCTTAACGTGATTAACGGGTCGCCTTACGGTCATCCGCTATCAGCATAGGCATTATGGGGCTCGTGACCTCACTGGAGCCTTAACACAATCAAAGGGATGCATCATGGAGCGGAACTGGCCGTTGAAAGATTGTGTGGTTGGCTTAGTGGTTTGTTGGCGACCGGTTGCCAATTGAGACAAACGTGAGCGACTAGTGAGTGGCATTTGAAGCAGATGACATCAACCGGCCTGACTGGCGAACGAGCGGCCTCCAGGACTGTGGGAGAAAGTGGGGTAATATTAGATTAGACTCGGTCTGGCGGGGGAAGATTGTGTCCCTCCCAGCCGTCGAGCCAAGAAACATTGGAAGACCGAAGCGAGCAAATAACATCTGCGGTGCTCGCGGTGCTGACCCCTGATTACCTGCACAAGCCCAGTGGTCAGTCAACTGGTAGCTCGTGTTCCGAGTGAATAACTACCTAAGTACCTAGGTACCTAGGTGCCTGGGCAACCGCACCGCCCTGTTTGCGCACCTGCTCATATTATTCCTATTCGCGCCGCCTGAAACGGCAGTGGATGATGTTTTCATTCTTGTCGATATTATTAGATTTATTGGCACACCAGACTGCTGGTGGTTGAAAAGCTCCAGATGCACCAAGACATGCATGTTGCCCCGTTGCATTGACGGACTGGACCGATCTGAACTGATCTGCTGAAACACTAGAGGCGCCTGGTAGACCGTCTGGTCTGATAGCTGAGAGAGCACGGCTAGGCCCATGGGCACTAACATTGAAATCATAGGGGCAACCATTGCATGTGCACATGTGAACATTGTAGGCCATTAACATCTGCCGTCGGCAGCCCGCCACGAGCCCGCCAGCTTCGTCAAAGTGGGTGCATCCCTCTTCCGCACCGCATTCCATGTCCCCAACCGCTCAGCAACCTCCTTTGCCCTTGTCAGCCCTACTTTTTGTATCGTCACGTCCTCCCCAGCATTTGGCTGCCTTTGTCCTTGTCGCTTTCTCGCACAAGACAGACTCCCCCCAAGTCGCCGACTGAACCTCTCGCTGGCCGTGAGCTCCTTCCTGTCGCGCCGCTTACGTCTTCTCTCCGCGCGAGCTGTTCTGCGACACTGACCCCTCACCGCCACCACATTTGACCTGATTGACGCCGTCTCGACCTCGAGGACCTTGGGGTGTCTTGTCGGGCTAGATACTCCACGCCTCCTTGCATACCGAGATTGCTTGTCTACAATTGCATTTTTATTTCTTGCCATTCCCTGCTGTATTCTTTCGCTATGGAGCAGGACAGCAAGCCTCCCCACGCCGACGTGCGTCGCAACCAGCAAGTCGACAATGCCATTCGCGCCATTCGAGAGAAGAAGCCCGTCCCCGAGATTGACTTCACCATCCACACCATGGAAGATGGCACGCAAGTGAGCACGTTGGAGAGAGTGTGCAAAGGTTCGTTGGTCTCTTTCCCCGCGACACGTTGGACACGCCTTCTTTCGGCCACACGAGGCACATGCCGAGGCCAAAATACAGCACCACACCGAGACTAATCACTGTTTGCCATGATGCAGATGTTCAAGCGCCCGCCATGACCAAGCCTACCGAAGAACAGTTTTTCCAAGACGACACTCACTCCAAACCTGACATCGCCTTTCTCAAGCAGCACTTCTATCGCGAGGGTCGTCTGACGGAGGAACAAGCACTCTGGATTCTTCGCAAGGGTACCGAAATCTTGCAGAACGAGCCCAACCTCCTCGAGATGGACGCCCCCATCACCGTTTGTGGCGATGTTCACGGCCAGTACTACGATTTGATGAAGCTATTTGAAGTCGGTGGCGACCCAGCCGAGACCCGCTACCTGTTCCTGGGCGATTACGTTGACCGAGGATATTTCAGTATCGAATGCGTTTTGTATCTGTGGTCGCTGAAGATTCACTACCCCAACACTCTATGGTTGCTGCGAGGAAACCACGAGTGCCGTCACTTGACCGACTACTTCACCTTCAAGCTTGAATGCAAGCACAAGTACTCGGAGGCTGTCTACGATGCCTGCATGGAGTCTTTTTGCAGCTTGCCATTGGCAGCTGTGATGAACAAACAGTTTTTGTGTATCCATGGTGGTCTCAGCCCTGAATTACATACACTTGACGACTTGAGAAATGTGCGTATATTGCATATGAGGGCTTCTTGGGAGAGGGGAAAAAAAAAAGAAAGCTAACCTCTGACAGATTGACCGGTTCCGAGAGCCTCCTACACAAGGTCTCATGTGCGATATTCTCTGGGCAGACCCTCTAGAAGACTTTGGCCAGGAAAAGACGACCGACTTCTTCTTGCACAACCACGTGCGTGGCTGCTCGTACTTCTTTTCATACCATGCCGCTTGCGCATTCCTCGAGAAAAACAACCTCCTATCTATTATCCGGGCACACGAGGCTCAAGATGCTGGGTACCGCATGTATCGAAAGACGCGTACTACCGGTTTCCCCAGCGTCATGACCATCTTTTCTGCTCCCAACTATCTTGACGTGTACAACAACAAGGCCGCGGTGCTCAAATACGAAAATAACGTCATGAACATCCGGCAGTTCAACTGCACGCCTCATCCATACTGGTTGCCCAACTTTATGGACGTCTTCACGTGGTCTCTGCCATTCGTAGGTGAGAAGATTACGGATATGTTGATTGCCATTCTCAGCACCTGCTCTGAAGAGGAGCTCAAGGAGGAGACGCCGTCTTCGACCAGCCCACACTCGCCAACCACTTCCCAAGTAGGCGACGACCCCAATTCGATCGAGTTTAAGCGGAGAGCGATCAAGAACAAGATTCTGGCTATTGGTCGCATGTCACGCGTCTTCCAGGTGCTTCGAGAGGAGTCCGAGAAGGTTACCGAGCTCAAGACTGTCTCCGGAGGCAGGCTGCCTGCAGGCACGCTCATGCTTGGCGCTGAAGGTATTAAGAATGCGATAAGCTCGTTTGAGGATGCGCGAAAGGTGGATTTGCAAAATGAACGTCTGCCCCCCAGTCACGAAGAAGTCGTGAAGCACCAGGAGGAGGAGCGGGCTACTGCTCTGCAAAAGGCGGCCCAGGAGGCTGATAATGATAAGAAGCTGCACCAGCTTTCTCGGAGACTTAGCACGTAAGTGTCTTTTCTGTCTCTCTCTCTCTCTCTCTCCCCTTTTTATTCTTTTTTTTTTCTTAATTTTTGGGTGATAAATTTACTTACTGTTTTGTAGTGACCGTAAAAACCGATCATCATAAAAAAAATTGTCATGCTGGACAATGAACGACGCCGGCAAGACCGGGTAAATGATTGAACGGACCGCAAAGCGGCGTGATGGATTCCACGGGCCGCATGTGAAATTTGCGGGTGACTTTTTCTTCTGGATAGGGCTTGTGACTACAAGGGCCGGTAAAGCCATGCAAAAACGGTTAGCATATAGCATTGTGGTGTAGAGGATGAAGACACGGGATGGACGTTGGACACGAGTCTAGACTGGTGTTGGTAGCACTAATGAGTATTCAATACATGAATGATTGTATCCGGGTGTTTCGTGGTCCTCGGACTGATGGGTGGATGGGTGATGAAGGTGCGATTTGCCATGCTTCGCAACGCTGCAACTCCGAGTCACATGCTGGGTTATTCGGCTATAAAATAGGAAATTCTTTTCTGGGTATGTTCAAATTAGCAAACATAAGACCACGTGAAGTAGGTTTCCCAGTCCAAAAAACCACCGTTCCCCAACACGCACACGCCGAACATGTTCAGTGAGGCTTCGTGGCAGTCAACAACTGACACGGCAGAATCCCGTACATGATGCCGACGCCCAAAAGCGAAACACGAACGTCCTTTATGCCGCGGCCGCCGTGGGCCCCGAGGAGGAGCGGCGTGGGGACGTCGTCGAGGACGTCGTGCCATGCCTTGAACTTGCCCCCGAGCGCCGCGTACAGGTACAGCGGGGTGCCGGCCAAGGTGAACAGCAGGCCGGGAAGGGAGTCGAGGCCGAAATCGGGCTCAGATGGGGGCGGAGGGCCTTGGAGGGCGACGAGGAGATGGTGGTGATTGTGACGTGGTTGGCGGTGTTGTAGACGGACAACCTGGGCGTTGGTCATGGCCCAGCTGTAGTTGAGGGTATGAACCACCAGGGCATTGACGGCATGTTGTATATTTCCGAGGGAACTCTGTCCAGGGGTCTATGCGTGTCTGATTTTTTTTCCCTCTATCGCGTCGTATTTCCGTATTCGATGCCCTGTTTGATTCGGGACTTGCACGGGAGCTTGCTTGCCTTGGCGCTGGCCGTCTCGACTGCTTGCGCTTCAGGGTCCAACGGCCTTGTTTATTTACGGATCTGAAGCCACCGAGCTTTTTCTGTCGTCTTGGGGTCGCACTTGGGGACTAGCTGTGCGAACGCCACCGAAGAGGTGATGCTGCTTTGGTGGTGCGCTGTTCCCCCAAGAGCATGAGGCGAGGCCAATGCCCGTTGCCAGCGCCAGCCACGACAGGAAGATGGAAGTCTGGTGAGCTGCGTCGCCAAGACGGGCTGCGGGACGTGCCGGCGAGACAACAGCCACAGCATCACACGTTCCTTGGCATTGTAACTCTGGACCGCAACACAGAAAGTGGGCGAGTTTGGCGTCGTCCCCTCGATGGGCGCCGAGTCGGTGGATAGTGTCGGCGCCAGAGTCATGATCAAACCGCCCAGGTGCGCCGAGATGTACAAAAAGGGGATACGGGATTTCGTTCAGGGACGCATTATGCTGTCGGCTCTTTGCCCAACGCGTGGCTTATATAAAGCGAGTCGTTTAAACGTCTTTGTCCGTGAGACCACTACCGTCACAACTACCCTAGCCGGAGGGCTGTTCCATAGCTAATCCCTTTGAAACACCCGTTTTTTTTTATCAAGTCTAAATAGTATACATACCAAGTAAAGTACATGACAATATTCAGGAACAAACCCCCACCGACAGGAATGAGAAGAGGCCATTACCCATGAATCCGTCAAAACTCACAGCTCTATTCCGACCTGAAATTGGCCAGTGGCCGGCTTACAGCACGGAAAGCCGCGGCAATAATAAAGGCAAAAGCGCCGGCGCCCATGCGGGAAGCACCAGCGGTGACGGGAGCTGTGGGCAGTCCACCAGGGACGCTCCCAGTGGGAACAGGAACGGTAGTCAAACCGCCAGTTGGGCTGGCAACACCGCAGGTAGAATGGTTGCAGCCAGGGCAAGGCTCACTTGTTGGTGCGGAAGCAGCCTCAGAGGTGTTTGCGGGAGGGCAGTTCTCTCTCCCGGAGCACCAGGTGGTGAGCCAGCTGACCATCTCGGTGGTGAAGGTCGAGGTGTTGCCCCGGTGGGTGCTGGAAGTGACATTAGACGTGCTAGCAGTCCCAGTTGAGCTGGTGACAGAGTGAGACTTTGCATGTGACTCCGGGTGAGCCTTGATGGCAGCTTCAGTGGTCTCGGTGCTCGTGGTCGTCTTAGTTGATGTAGGTTTGGTAGAGGTTCGAGAAGTAGTGCTGCCGGTGACAGGAGGCCCCCCACACTCGCCCACAAGAGGACCGGCAGGGCCAGGACCAATAGCGACAAGATGAGTACCGCAGTCATCGGCCTGAGCAAGGGCGAGCTGCCTGTTGGTCTGGTCGAAGACGACGTAGGCGGATCGGAGGAAACTGTCTCCCAGGAGATAGGACTTGTCCTTGGCCTCGGTGAAGCCCAGGGAACAGGTGTTTGCGTCATAGGGGTAGATGAAGTCCTTGTACGCAGCGCGGATGACAGTGCCGCCAAACTTGAAATCGACAGAGGCGTCCTGCCTCCTCAAAGAGCAGTCGACAAGGTAATTGGCATACCCGTCACGCTTGGCGCCAGGGAATCCCTTGAGGAGCTGCTGCACAACAGAAGGGGGCAAGTACGACAAGGTAGAGCCGGTATCCAAGAAGACGGGAAGACGCCGGCCGACAAGAGTAACCGACTTGCCACCGGCTGTCTGCGAAATGCCATCGAGGTTGATCCAGTAGCGAGCAGCGCCGTCGGGAGAAGCCTCAGCGTCGAGAACGGGAGTGGCGTGCAGGGCACCGCGGAACTTCTTCAAGTCGGCACCGCCAAAGACGACGCTGCCGCGGGCAGAGTCGACACCCTGGAGATCGACACCAAAGGCAATGCTCTTGGTGAAGCCTTGGTTGTGGAGGGAGTTGACGACAAAACCGTCCTTGTTGTTGATGCCTTTCTGGGAAGGGCCAAGACCCAGGATGCCCGTGGTCACGAAGCCGCTGTCCCTGGCGACACCAAAGACCTGGTTGGCCAGCTTGGCAGATCCGACCTGCACAACGTCGCAGACGTACTCGACGTGGGCGTAGCCCTTTCCATACGTGATGTTGTGCGACTGGCCGAGCTGCTTCAAGGTGAATGAGCGTTGGAGGCGTCCGAACTTGGCACAGTTGGCCGGCACATGGGCCTTGGAGCAGACGGGGTTGACCCAAAGCGCACTGGAACCGGTATCGAACTGCACATCAACCGTGTTTCCGGGGCTGCCAATGTCGAGCCCAATGGTGTAGAACAGGCCATGCTGCTGGGAAGGGAGACTTTGGCCGTGTTGTCGCCTGGAGAGCCCGGACGAGCCCTGAACACCCTTGATGGGGAATTTGAGAACACCTGCAGGTTCAACTGCACGGTTGACAGCAGAGTTCATGGCCCGCGCCGCAAGTGGCAAGGCACCGAGGGCGAAAAGAGTGCAACGCATAGTGACGGCTTGTTTCGCTGTCTCTCCTCAACTAGTTGGCGTGAAAGAATGACTGAAGACGCCCAAGAATGCGAAGGAAATATAAGTATACTATTAGGAACTGAACGAAGAACTTTTGTTAACCGTGATTCCGACCGAAAGAGAACGACGATAATAAAAAAAAAAGAGAGAGAATCAGCAGGATCATCATGTTGGGTATATATCATCACCAAGGGCCTCACAATCTTGCGCCGAATGGAACTAATATTAGTGCCATCTCACTCGACGCGTCGTCAGGAATGCCTTGCCGCTGTGTTCACAGGGGATGATTTTGTGGTCTGTCAAATGCCTGCGTGTGTAAGGGGCGCTGCAAGCATCTTGTCCGGCTAGAACGACCAGACGTGATGCCATCCATGGCGTAGGCCGCATGTTCTTCCGCCTTGCTCGTAATACTCGTATATATGTCTGGTGTAGCGTTTGCCGGCGCGAGGTGATGAATCACCAATTCGGCTAGTGTGTCTGACGCATCGCGGTGCGTGTACTCATGGTGTGTCGCTTGGTTAGTTACGGTTCCCTATATTTGCTAAAGTGTTCGCTAGGTGTCATTCATTATATATGTCCGGTGTGGGAAGCAGCGTGGCTGCGCCCAAGGCATGGTGATATTTTGTGCCCCCAAACGCAATTCATGCGCTGTAGCACTCCCATTCCGGCCTGTATACGGTAGGAGCCATCTCCTTGGTTTGTCGGATGGACGTGGTTGAGGCTATTCGCACGATCGGCTGGCATATCCATGCGCCTGCCTGCGCCATTCCCGCGTTCCAAGACAACGGGGCAACCCCGACCCAAGCCGGGCAAACAGAACCAGACGTCAAGCGGCTGGAAAATGATGTGGAGATTGCCCCGATGCGGAAAAGCCACGGGTGAGGCGTTGACAATGGCGAGAGACTTGGCTCCAACGCTGCCGGATGCCAGAGTCAAAACGAATGGGCCGCCGCTGTCAGGACTCAGCCCTGTGCAGCCATCCACCCATCCAACGACGACGAGGCTCTGCTGAGACATTTCCGACGGGTGTCAAAATGCAGGGGCTGCTCTCATGACGCTGGGGGCGCCGAGGCCAATCACCTGTGTCGTTCCCGAGATGCAATTTTAAAAACGGGCAAGGGGTTGAGGGACGGTGTTGTTGTCCGACACAGGCTCGACGCTCAACCGACATGTCATTCCGGCGCAGACCACATGTCTACTAGTTCCATCCAGACTGATCTGGTCAAATGCATGGGCCGAGTGAAGACGGCAGGCGAATGCCACACGGGGTTGAGTGGGTGGAAAATGGTGATTTACGGCGTCAATCCGATCTCTGCCATGATGTCCCTCCACGCAGGTCGGGGCTAGCCATTTTGCGGACCATGAGTCTCGAGTCTACTTGCGGTGTCAGAAGTTTGCATAGAGAGCGACTTTCACTCTGTTCTCCGAGTCTACTGCAAGAGGACAAGATGAGCTAGATACAGCTTGGGCTCCATTTTGAGCCCCGACGAAAATACCTTATTATGACTCTAGTTTCTTAATCAAACTGGGGCCAAGTGAGGCCCGCGATGTCATGTCCTTTTGTTCTTATCTGCTCTTTCCCCTTGCGAGCCCTTGGCTGCGATTGCCGAAACACGTCGTATCGAATACATAATACGAACACAACTGCTCAGAGGGAGGGCGGGAATGGAGTCACCCGGGCGTGCTTTTGCATCATAGCCTCGTTCAACAGGAATAGAGCTGTTTGCTATTCCTGGGGAAATCCTTCGTGCCAACTCTATTCGCCATCCGTGTTGCCGGCGCGCGGGGAAAGAGATCAGCAGACACGTCGATTCACTTGTTGAAGGGATTGCCAAGAAGGCGATTGCGGGAACAAAAGAGGTATGGGCAATGGTCACGTACATATGTATGTCTCCTCCCTATCCTCCGACTTCCGGGTGGCCGTGGGTTGCATTTATTGCTCACCGTCGCCACCAGGGGCTGAGCCTTATTATACTGACGTGCTGATATAGGCGAGGCGGCGAATCAAGCAATCCGCCCTGGGCGAGGAATTGCGGTCCTCGGCGGATCCCCTGAGCTGCGATGTGTCGATGTGTCCAGTCTCCCGATGGCACGGGCCTGTTAAGTTATATGACAACATATCGCACCCCGGCCTCCCATCTCCAAACCGGATGATACCCGCAAAATGCAACTTACCCGAGCAAACCCCCACAAGATGGTTGTATTGGCAGTGGAGAGAGCGCGGTGGGCAAAAGAGCGAGCAAGCAAAGCAGTCGTATATCCAAAACCCGCCGTGGGCCTTTTGGTAGGGTGCCATGTTGGTGTTCGCCGCACGAGACGGTATCGTTCCATCATTCAGCCCGCTGAATCACCGGAAGCGAAATGGCCGACAATTGAGTGGTGAGTCTCGGGCAAAAAGGGCTCAGGGCGCAAATTGTCAACACCACAACCAGACTCTACCGCATGGTAGAACGACTGGTGGTGGCCGTGGCTCGTTGTGATGGTGGGGGATGCGGAATCACGAGCGAGTCCTCGTATGTGTGTCAACTGGTACCTTGGAACCTGCATGTCGCATCTTGCATCCCGTACCTTGCAGTACTATTGTCCCGCGTGAGCTGCTGCAGCTCTTGGTGGTGTCCAGGGGGGCGCCGCCGCGAGTTGAGTCTGGTGTCATTGTAATCTGCAGCGTCGGACTTAGGCCGCACTGGGCACGGACACAAGCGTCACATAACCCAAGAAGAAAAAGGGCCCTGAAAACATTACGTATTGGGCAACAGGATAGAGTTGGCACGCACGAGACTCGTCTGCCGAACTCGGCTATCGCGCCCCGGGGACGTCAGGCGAGTAAAGTGGCGCGGCGCCGCCTCCCGTCCTCAACGGTTTGCGCATCTACGTGATGCTATTCCTTGATACCATGGTGTCCATGGGGTTCCTCCAAGAGTCCAAGCACTGCCGACCCGTTCATCTGATAACGTGAATGACTCGTTTTCGTCCCGTCACCGTCCGCACCAGCCCAGATTGAGTAGTATCCATGTCGACTGTCTGTAGATTTTGTGGACTTATTGGCCCCAACCCCGGTCCGGCTCCGGCTCCCGACCCTGTCTTGGGTTCTCGATAGGGGTTGTGTGTTTGGGCTGTTTGGACATGAGCGACAGCCGATGGAGACGACTTCATACCGGGCCAAAGGATGCAGAGCAATGTGAGGCCTTCAAGTTGTGACACTTGCAGCCAGGACACCGGCCTCGCCACCTTCTCAAACAGGAATCATGTGATGCATGCATACTCATTCCCGTATACTGAAAACAGGGGACTATTGCCTACTGTCGATAGTGGAGGAGGGCCTATTTGCCGTTTGGAGATGACCTCCGGCCTGGTGTATTGCTGGGGTGTACGATATAGACCGGGAGTACAACGCAACATGACTACGGTGAATCCTCTTTACAACGCAGTACAATCCACTTCGGTTACAGGCGAGGCGTCCATGGTCGAATACAGGAAATAATTCGTGAGATGAATCTCGCCGTGACTATTGTCAACACTGTCAGTTCTGTAGAAACGCGGGCGTCTTGCAGTGAGATAAATGTCTCGCGTTCCCTCCCTTGATAGTATGCTTGAAATCATCAGTCACGCTCCTTGACGCGGTTCACTTTCCATTCACCTTTTCCTTGTTAAAGACTTGCCCCCCCTTTTTCCTTCTTCTTTCCCCTTTCTCTTTGCAAGATGCTCCCGGTAGCATTTGCAGCCGCTCTCTTTCTGGGAGCAGCACACCCAGCTGCGGCAGACAGGCCGCATTTCCCTTTGAGAAACGCAACTACCAATGCCACTGAAACCCAAGCTGCGCCAGTAGTAGTATGGACGACGGTGACGCAAATCGTGACGCAGACAGCCGGTGCAGGATGCCCGGCCAACTATGCTCTGAGCCCCGAGCCAACGCCAACCGAATCGCCAACGGCCACCTTTGTCAACAGCGCACCCGCAGCGACGCTGTCTCCGAATGTGCACTGGTCGTACGACACAAAGGCCATGGAGAATGTGATACCGGTTGAGCCAAACAAGGGTTGTGAGCTTTACTATGGTGTCTCCGGTAAGACTACCCATCCCGCACACTCCAAAGGGACTGGGCTCACGACTTACACCCCACAGACCCGTCCAAGTCGGGCTACTATGCCTTTGTCACCTACTTCTTCAAGTCTCCAGCCGTCAATATTGACCATACTGACCATCTGGCGGCCGAGTACCACGAGGATAACGGCATGACGGTGTCCTTCAACAACAAAGAGGCCTTCAAGCACGCATTGGACACTTGGACCATGACCAATGGTCTGCTCTTGATTGCGTATATCCCAGGATGCGGCGACTACGCCAAGGGAGAACGATGCTACTTCAACGTGACTGCCATGGAATACAAGCACGCCCAGTTGGTCATTGTGGCAAAGGGAGACTCTATGCACCCCGACCAGGTCACCAACTTGGGCGAGACGGAATGGGGCTGGTGGAATGCCAACAAGGGCAAGGCCCATGATGGCTCTGCGTCCGAGTCTGGCGATGCCTTTGCATGGGGCACATCGACCGCGTCTTCTTCCCCTTCGTCTCCCACTGGCGCCTCGTCTGGCTCCAAAAAGCCCCTGGGACAGCTCGAGTGCACCGCCCCGGCTGACGATGCTCACGGGCTGCCCACCGCGTGCCTGGGAAGCAACTTCGACCAGCTTCTGGACAAGCAGCTGGGATACACGGAGCTGAGCCCAGAGGCCAAGCAGTTCCTGGACAGCCTTTCGTCGGGATCCAACGTTACTGGCCCGGCAAACTCGACTCTGTCTGGTCGTGCCCAGCGCATGCGCCGCCGGTCCCTTGCGCAACGGGGCTTCTGGTCAAGCGTCTGGAACTTCTTCAAAAGGGCCTTCACGGCCGTCTACAATGCTGTAGCGAGTGTCATCAGCCTTGGAGGGTCCATTGACCGCGACTTCTCCTTCAAGGTGCCCGATCCAGAGTCCTCCAACACG